GCTGATCGTGGAACCTGAGAGCGTAGGCCTGTCCGTCCAAGACAGGCGTAATAGGCAATACTTTTCCTCGGCCGCTGTCGACATGAACCGTCGTATGCATGACAGGTCAAAGTGGCAGTGGTTCGATCGTGTGCAAACGCGTTTGGGCATGTCCCGTGGAGGATTGACATTCCTCAACAATGAACCGGGGCCCGTTCTCTCGAGGGAAGCAATGGCCCCGTGTGGCCGCCCTCCGATCAGAAATGAACAATCTTTTCGGTCCGTAGGTCCGCTCAAGAAAATGTTCATTGCATGCATCGACAACATGCATGACATCCCCTCCGTGGCCGCTTGGTGGCGAGATTGATGGAAGTTGACAGATCACTTCTCCATGCCCATGGCTGGCCCCCCGTCGGCGGTCTTTGTTTGGGAGGGCGCGGGGAGCGAAGTCACCGCGCTCAGTGAGGGGTGGAAGCTGTGGGAGGATCTCGAGCTGAGCGAGGGAGACATCATCCCTTCGCCGGCTTGGCTTGCCGAGGCTGCCGGTTTAACCGGTGGCCCAGTGGCTGTACTGGAGCAGCAAGGCCCTGATATCCATAATTTTCTGGCGCAGGTGGATATCGGGTTGGGGCCATCGGATTTTTTTTTTGGACAGGCCCCATCGATCTGCGAGGTCATTCGCCCGCCGAAGGAACATGTGTCGGGGCGCGGGACAAGGTGGGCCCTTGTCTTGGGAACGCAAAAAGGTTCCACAAGCGGTTGAACCGCCTGCGCCGCTTGCGCTGGTCGTCTTGTCGCCGCGTCCCGATGACAGTGGCAATGCAATCATATTTCAAGTCGATCTCGCTGCTATGAACCCGGCGCGCGCGAAGGATGGTACCGTGTGGGTAGAGCTTCCAGGCGGGATACATGCCGATATCCTCAAGCCTAGTGGTGGGAGGAGGAGGAGGAGGAGGAGGAGGAGGAGGAGGAGGAGGAGGAGGAGGAGGAGGAGGAGGAGGAGGAGGAGGAGGAGGAGGAAGGAGGAGAGGGCGGAGGAAGAGGAGGAGGAGGAAGAAGAGAGGACGAGGAGGAGGAGGAGAGAGTAGGAGGAGGAACTCTGCGAGGATGCCACACCGCGCAGAGTGCATTCCCCCTCTCTCCTCCACCTCCTCCTCGTTTCTTCCTCCTCCTCCTGCTCCTCCTCCTCCTCCTCCTGTTCCTCCTTTTCCTCCCCCTCCTCCATCCTCCTCCCGCATCCTCCTTCCACATCCTTCTCCTCCTCCCCCTTCACTCCATCCTCCCTCCTCCCTCCTCCTCCGTCTCATCTACAGGGTCGCGTATCCGTGTGGCCGCGCCTTGGTTTTCAGACCGCGAGGGCGCATGGGTATGGATGCGTTTGCCGTCGTTGAGGTTGACGTTCGAGGATCGAGCTATTGGGGAGTTTCTGGAGCTGTTTGGGTACTCCAAAGGCAAGAAACTCTTCCTCTCTCCGTATACGATGTAGATGTCGGTAGGTGGGTCGATGGGTGGGTAGGCCGGTGTGTATGTATGTTTGTCTATACATACATACGTAGTTCTCTGTGTATGTACATATGTAGCTGTGCGTGCCGGCATGCATGGATTGATAGTTGTTTGTATGCACGCATGCATGTACACATGCATGTACGTGTGTATGATTGTACGTAATATGTATGTTTGTAAGTTTTCATGGATGTTTATAATATGTATATATATAGATATGTTGCTGCATGTATGCATTTCCGTATGTATGTATATGTAATTAGGTTGGACTGTATGGACGGGTGTATTCATGCATGTGCTTTTGTATACATGCATGAACTGTGTGCATGCGTGTATATACTTGCATGTATGTGTATGCGCATGTACATGTATACATATGTGTGAACACGTATTTATGTGTACAAGCAGTGTGTGTGTGTGTGTGCGTGTGAGGAGGGGGCGGGGGGGGCGAGTTTCGAGGGTCTTTGTCCTTGTAAGTTTCTGGCGATCCTTCGGGCCTTTGGTTGCCTCGTGAGGCTTCCCGAGGGTGACAACCGACGGTGCACACGAGAGTCTTGGAGCCAGCACCACGTCACCCGCCCCCCCTTCACACAGCCCGTTCCTCAATCGGACAACAACGACGGGCTCTACAACAAGCCGAGGCACCAGGTGACCTGGTACCCTACCTGGAACCACCGAGACACTGCAAGGGAGGACTGGAGAGCGGTGATCAACCGCCTCAAGAAAGAATGTGGCCCCATGCTGACCATCGGGTGGAATACCATCTGCGACCAGGAATCTGGACCCCACTCCGCCAAAGACCCACAGCGTCACAACTCTTGAATTCTGCCAATGTTTCGTACATGACCTCAACGAGGTCAATTACGACGTGCTCAGACGTTGCTGGAAGAAAAGGCGTACAAGTCGATTGGCACGCTGAGTGATATCGCGAACTTGACAAGAGGAGGCAAAGCTCTGAGCTCGCGAAGGGCACACGGAAGGGTGCTCCGCCGCAAGGGAAAAGGAAACGCCCGGCGGACTCCTCTTGGCCCTCTTGGCCGAGCAACGACCGTTCCCGCCAACGCGGGTCAGCTTCCAGCAGCCACCGCTGGTAGCGTTCAGCCATCCGCCCTATCGCCTCGTCCTCGTCCTGTACTCAGCGTGACATTCCCGCCCTGGCAGTGGCCTCTCTGGCCGCTGTCCTCCCCCCCTTGGCTTCCCACATCGTGCACCTATTCGGTGCCCCCCCGCAGGCCCCCAGCCCTCGCTCGGGGCCTGCCCGCCGCCCTCACCTCCCTGCCTTCGTGGCCGCTTTTCATCGTGCACCTGTTCGGTGACCCCCGCAAGCCTCCAGCCCTCGCTCGAGGATTGCCTTCTTCTCGCGCCCATGCGTGGGGCCCGCCAGCGCCTGTGCCGGCGCTTGGCTGGTTCCCACCGTTGTCGCCCTTTCTGGGTTGGCCCTGGCAAAGCAGACTGGTCTTGCCGCCCGCTCGTGACCGTCGGGCCGCCCCTCCCGCCCGCCTTGGGGTTCTCTGCTTCGCCGCTGCCACCTGCCTTTTGGGGCGCCGGCCTTCTGCAGGTTTTGTCCAGGCCCTGCCTGCGGCACCCCTCTGGCCCTTGCCGTGCTTCGCCGGCCGGGCGACACTCGCTTCGGTGCCCGTGTCCCCCCTTTTCTGCCTGGTTTTCGCCATGTCGGCTACTACTCAGTTGGCTCTCTGCCTCTGGGCCCGCCCGTTCGCCCAATTGGCTTGCCGCCCCCCGCTGGGCGTGGCCTTCCTGCCCGCCGCCCGCTGGCGTTCGGCACCGTCGCCCTCCCCCATTCGTTCTGCCTGCCCTGGACCCGCCGGCTCCCACACTTGGCGGTGCTCATCTCCTTCTTTGCCCTGGGTGCCGCACCGCGCCCCGCCGGGCCGTCCCTCATTCCGCGATTTCCTAGCTCTGCCTGGTCTCGGCTCTCCCCACCGTTGCCGATGTCGGGGTTCCTTCCCGTCGGCGCGGTTCGAGGTCCTGGGCGCTCGTCTTTCCCTCCCTTCCACCGCTTTTTTTTGCCGCTCTCGCTCTGCTCTGCGCCGTTCTGGGAGGTGCCACTGCCTGCCTTCCGCCCTTCCCGCCCGCGCCTCGCAGGCCCACAGGTCTCGGCGCTTTGACTCATCCTGGGACTGCGCCTTGGTCCACTGGGTTGGGGACCGCTCTTCTTGGCTTCCATTCCTCTGCTACTGTTCTGTGCCGCTCCGCACCAGCTTGAGCCACATCCAGTTCAGTGCCGACCAGCAGCAGCCCTTGCACCCGCGGCGCGATGCCTGTAGCTGGACTGATCAGTCATGGCATTCGCCTTCCGTCGCCTCGCACGCGCCTCGCAGGCCCGCAGGTCTCGGCGCAGTGGCTTATCCCTGGACTGCTCGGTCCACTGGGTTTGGCTATGCTTCGTTTTCTCTTCGCCACCAGCTGCAGCTCCCGTCTGTCCCCCCCAGCTTCAGCTCAGTGCAGTTCAGTGCAGCCTGTGCCGGCGCTGCTCCCCCCCCTGGCGCTCCCCCCGCCGCAGCCGGCAGCTCTGAGTGGCCCGTCGCGCCGGGGCCCCTCCTCTTTCTTCCGTGCATTGCGGCTTAATTTGCATACAGCGTGTCCCCTGTTGCCTCTCCGCCGGAGCAGTCGCCCTCTGCCCAGCCGCCGACGCAGATTGTGTGTGTGTGTGTGTGAGGGGGGGGGGGTCGAGTTTCGAGGATCGTTGTCCTTGTAAGTTTCTGGCAATCCTTCGGGCCTTTGGCCGCCTAATGAGGCCTCCCGAGGGTGACGACCAGCGGTGCGCACGAGAGTTTTTTTGGGGCGGGAGAGGCTTGAGAATCGAGGATCGAGGCTCGAGATCAGAAGATCGAGGATCGAAGCTCGAGGCTGGAGGTCAGAGGCTTGATTTTTCTTTGGTGGGGAGGGAGGATCGAGGCTCGAGGTCAGAGGTGGTGCGGAAGTTTCTGGCCCATCTCTGGCTTCCAGAGGCCTCCAGAGTCGGAGACTTCGAGGATACCCACCCTGTCAAGTCGATCAGGTTTTTTTCCCGGAAGGAAAAACATTTTGACACACATAGTCGTCGATGCCTTTGCAAAATAATGGGACATATGGGAAGTGAGGGGGAAGACGAATGGTTAGAAAAGATGGGAAATATTGTGATTCCTGGGATTTGTGCCTATTTGTTTGTGTGTCCCTGGGCCGTTCACCTGCGAATGTTGAGGTGGTATTGTGGACGCCATTTTGCGGGCCTGCGTCCGCCAAGTCTGGTCGCGGGCCGTTTTCACGAAAGGGTGTTTTGCTAAAGGGAGTTCTCTCACGACGGGGGCCAATGGAAGTCTCCAGGCACGGTCAAAACCTCCAGAGATCCCCGGCTCAAAAACACTCGTGTTGACACTGCCCTTGATGCTAACTTCGCGTTGACCTTGGCAGTCTTCTCGTGTAGTATCGGACACCTTACAGTATAAGCTCTGAATTGTCGGACCTGCTCTCTCAGAAGCCCGCTCGCCTCGTCCCGCCCGGTTGTGCGCGCCGCCAAGGTGAAGAGGTCTCTCATATCGGGCTGCGCCAGCGTCGCCATGCGGAAGGGCAAGGTCTTCCACTCGGGCTGCTGGGGAAGCGCAGACCTGGAGACCGGCGCGAAGTTCGGCTTCGACACCCTGTGCCGCATGGTCTGCGCCACGAAGAGCTACGTCGCCGTCGCCTTCATGGCGCTGGTGGAGGAGGGGCTGGCGAGCCCCGACGATCGACTGGACACGTACATCCCGGCGTTCGCCGGTGTACAGGTTCGCGTGGAGGGCAGCGACAGGCTCGTGGCACCCAAGCGCCCCATCCTGCTCAAGCACCTGATGTCCCACACGTCGGGGATCGGCTACTCCGGCGATGTCAGTGACAGGCTCGAGGACCTGGATCCGGACACGGCCAGCTACCAGAGGGCCCTCAACGCCGTGATTAGCGGCAAGACCCGTTCCCTTGCTGCGTTCGTGAGCCAGCTGGCGAAGGTGCCCCTGTCCTTCCACCCAGGCTACAAGTACCAGTACAGCTTCGCCTTCGACGTGCTGGGCCGCGTGGTGGAGATCGTCTCGGGCAAGAGGCTGGACAGGTGCCTGCAGGACTATGTCTTCGGCCCCCTGGGCATGAAGTCCACCATGTGGGCAGCCCCTGACTCCCAGCTTGATCGGCTCGCGGCGTACTACGCGAACTCGTCCACGTGTAAGAGCCTCTACGGCGGCCTCAAGGGCCGCAAGTCGAGGGGCAAGCTCTGCCGGATCGACGGCCGGTCTGCCCGCGAGAGCCACTGGCGGAAGGGCAGGCAGGCCAAGGTGCTCTCCGGCGGCGGCTACCTCGGCTACGTGTACGGCGGGATGCTAAGCACGGTGAGCGAACGATAACAAACGGCAAAACATATTTTATCGGAGCTCCGCTCGGGGCGCCGAGAGTTTATGTTTATGCATTGTTCCATGAGGTAAGGGACACGGTGGCGTTCGTGAAGATGCTCTACAACTACGGCAAGCTGGAGAACGGGTGCCGGTTGCTCAAGAAGAGCACGGTGATGGCCATGGAGAAGAATCGTTTGAGCGCCAAGACCTCGGGGGACGACAGGGTCTGCTACCTCGGCAACATTGGCACTTACCGCGAGGGCAGCAGTGAGTATGGCATGGGGGGTGCGGCATGCACCTACTGGAACATCGACCGCGCGGATGAGACCGCCGCCGTGTGGTTCACCCAGAACTGCGACATGCCGGAGTTCGACGAGTTCACCGACCCCAAAAAAGCGGACATGTGGGCCGTGATGCACCAGGCTCCCTCTCGAAGCTCGTGCCAGTCCGCCGCCGCAGCGACTGCCGCCCTTCCTCCCAGAGAGTCAGGGAACATGCACGGATCGAAGTTTGGAGGAGGAGGAGGAGGAGGAGGAGGAGGAGAAGGAGGACGAGGACCTCCCCGCACGTGGGGGACAGGTGATGATGCTGATGATGATGCTGCTGATGATGATGATGATGATGTTGTTGTTGTTGATGATGATGAAGATTCTGATGATGATGAGGAGGAGGAGGATGAGGATGAGGATGAGGAGGAGGATGAGGATGACGATGATGATGATGCTGCTGATGATGATGATCATGATGCTGATGATGATGATGAAGATGGTGATGATGATGATGATGATGATGATGATGATGATGATGATGATGATGATGATGATGATGATGATGATGATGATCATGATGCTGCTGCTGATGATGATGATCATGATGATCATGATGCTGCTGCTGATGATGATGATGCTGATGCTGCTGCTGCTGCTGATGATGATGATGATGCTGCTGCTGATAATGATGATGATGAGGAGGAGGAGGAGGAGGAGAAGGAGGAGGAGGAGGATCTTGGGCCATCTTGGACGCTGCAAACATCGAAACGGGGAATTGGCTAGAAATCTGCGTTTCCCTAAAAGGAATGGGGCACTCTTGGTCCGCCTTGGGGCCCAGCGGGCACGCGAGAAGCCCCAGGAGATTTGGCAATTCGTGGTCCGGGCCTCTGAAAGATTCCCCATGAGTAGGCTTGAGGCTGAGAGGGTTAGGCAAAGGACCTGAGGACACGCCCACTCTGTGCCCAGAAGCACGGTGGCGGATTTTCATCAGCATCATCACCAGCATCCGCATCACTCCTCACTCCTCCGCACTCCTCCGCACTTCTCTGCACTCCTCACCCCGTCCTCCGCCTTCGGACTCCCCCGCCTTCATCTTGACTCCTCCACCCTCCTCTCCTCTCATTTTTGTTCTCCTGCAATCCGCCCCCGCGTTCCTCCCCCTACTCCGCACTCCTCCGGAATCCTCCGCCCTCGTCTTCATTCCTCTCCACTCCTCCGCCCGCCCCCCACTCCACTCCGGCCCTCCCCGTGCCGCCCCACTCCTCCAAACTCCTCCGCGCTCCTCTCCAACCCTCCGCCCTGCGCCCTCCCCCGCACTCCCCCCCCTCCCCTGTCCTCCCACCTCCACCTCCTCCCCATTACAGTCCCCCCTTCTCCTCCTCCAGACCGCTCCGCCCTCCTTCGCACTCCTCCCCCACTCCCCCGCTCATGCAGAAACCTCCGCCCTCGCCCCCACTCCCTTTCATGCCTCCCTAGCACTACCCCTCCTTCCCTCTCTTCCTACCGTCTCCGCACTTCTCCAGACTCTGCCGTCCTTCCCCACTCCCCTCAGCTCCTTCGCGCACGGATTCGTTACTCCCCATCCGTAGCGCCCCTTTCCCACCCCCGCCAGATACCCCCCACTCCACTCCACTCCATTCGACTCTACTCCGTTCCTCCGCCCTCCTCCAGAGTCCGACGCTATCATCCCCAAGACCCTGCACTCTTCAGACCTCCTCCCCACTCCTTCCCCTCCTATTCGTGCTCGGGGCATCACGTGAAACGCACTCATATTAAAATAGCGCTCAAATCTCATATCTATATGATCAGGTCCTTGAAACACGGTGGGTGGACAAAAAGTGTCCACACCCATCGCGCCAAGATGATACGACATCCATAGCCCTCGCCCCCGCCCCCCCCCACACCCACACCCAAAGTTGACGCGGTTTGGTGCGAGGCATCGCGCGTGGGGCAAAATATGGACACTGCAACTTTGGTTCGGAGATTGCAATTATCGTTACCGTCATGCCTGGTTGTCCTCACCGCCTGGGTAAGAAGAGGTTCATTTGTTCGTTGATGTGGGTTTGCTTCGTTGCGGAACTGGTACAACTGGATAGAACAGGTCATATAACTGGTCAGATGACTGATCAATTCAAAAATTGGGTCTGGCATTGAACTGGTCGACCTCCCGCACATTGCCTCGCACCCGACTTCGTCAACTTTGCTATGGATATTTGTTCGACGCAATTCGATGTCGTATCATCTTGGCGCGATGGGTGTGGACACTTTTTGTCCACCCACCGTGTTTCAAGGACCTGATCATATAGATATGAGATTTGAGCGCTATTTTAATCTGAGTGCGTTTCACGTGAGGCCCCGAGCACGAATAGGAGGGGAAGGAGTGGGGAGGAGGTCTGAAGAGTGAAGGGGCTTGGGGATGACAGCGTCGGACTCTGGAGGAGGGCGGAGGAGCGGAGTAGAGTTGAATGGAGTGGAGTGGAGTGGGGTGTATCTGGCGGGGGTGGGAAAGGGGCGCTACGGATGGGGAGTGACGAATCCGTGCGCGAAGGAGCTGAGGGGAGTGGGGAAGGACGGCAGAGTCTGGAGAAGTGCGGAGACGGTAGGAAGAGAGGGAAGGAAGGGTAGTGCTAGGGAGGCATGAAACAGAGTGGGGGCGAGGGCGGAGGTTTCTGCATGAGCGGGGGAGTGGGGGAGGAGTGCGAAAGAGGGCGGAGCGGTCTGGAGGAGGAGAAGGGGGGGACTGTAATGGGGAGGAGGTGGAGGTGGGAGGACAGGGGAGGGGGGGGAGTGCGGGGGAGGGCGCAGGGCGGAGGGTTGGAGAGGAGCGCGCAGGAGTTTGGAGGAGTGGGGCGGCACGGGGAGGGCCGGAGTGGAGTGGGGGGCGGGCGGAGGAGTGGAGAGGAATGAAGACGAGGGCGGAGGATTCCGGAGGAGTGCGGAGTAGGGGGAGGAACGCGGGGGCGGATTGCAGGAGAACAAAAATGAGAGGAGAGGAGGGTGGAGGAGTCAAGATGAAGGCGGGGGAGTCCGAAGGCGGAGGACGGGGTGAGGAGTGCAGAGAAGTGCGGAGGAGTGCGGAGGAGTGCGGAGGAGTGAGGAGTGATACGGATGCTGGTGATGATGCTGATGAAAATCCGCCACCGTGCTTCTGGGCACAGAGTGGGCGTGTCCTCAGGTCCTTTGCCTAACCCTCTCAGCCTCAAGCCTACTCATGGGGAATCTTTCAGAGGCCCGGACCACGAATTGCCAAATCTCCTGGGGCTTCTCGCGTGCCCGCTGGGCCCCAAGGCGGACCAAGAGTGCCCCATTCCTTTTAGGGAAACGCAGATTTCTAGCAAATTCGCCGTTTCGATGTTTACAGCGTCCAAGATGGCCCAAGATGAGGAGGAGGACGATGCTTCGGGGCGGGGGAGAAGGAACAGTAATACGAATAACTGGAGGAGGAGAAGGAGGAGGAGAAGGAGGAGGATGAGGAGGAGGAGGAGGAGGAGAAGGAGGAGCAGGGGGATTGAAGAGGGAGAGAGGCAGGTGGTGGTCGAGGAGCAGGGAGGGGCAGGGGGCGGGAGGGGAAAAGGGGGGGGATGGAGGTGGAGGAGGGGGAGAGGGAGGAGGGAGGAGGCGGGTGAAGGCAAGAGGGGGACTGTCAGGGAAGGGGGAATGGGGCTTGGGATGGGATGGGGGAGGCGGGGGCACGACGGCGGTGACGAATCTGCCACCCAGCCAGCGCCACAGGCCGTCTTGAGCGCCTCGAAGAAGAGGCCCCGGGCACCCACGAGCGCCAGCGCGGGGGCGAAGCGTGCCAGGCGGTCTTGAGAGCGTGGTCCGGGCCCTGCAGTTCTTGCTGGATGCGGGCATCAGCAATACACTACAATCCCGATCCTGGCCCTGATCCTCATCCTTCCCCTTCTGGACGTGATTGCCCGGCCGTCTGTTGTATCGCGGTGCCTCGTCGAAGCAGGTGGACTCCGTTCCCGTTCTGCGCTTCGCTGTTTCTCCTCCTGCTGCTGGTGCTGCTGCCCGTGCCAGCCCAGCCCAGCCGGGTCCGAACCCCTTTCCCTTTGTTCTCCCCCTTTTCCAGCATTGCTTGCTCTCCGGGGGTCACCCCGATCTGCCCGACACCCACCGTCCACCCGTTCCTCTGGACCTTCCTCTTCCACCTCATCGTACTGCTCTCCTCGTGCTAACGCAACTCGTGATCCTCCTGGTACTTACGTTTCCCATCCCCCTCGTCCTGCTCCTCCTCCTCCTCCTCCTCCTCCTCCTCCTCCTCCTACTCCTCCCAGTCCGCATCTTGGTTATCATTGTGCTCTTCTTCCTTCTCCTCTCATGCTCGCCCAACTCCTCCCCCTCGTCGTCGTAATCGTCGTTGTCGTCGTCCCCTGGGGAAGAGGACGACGTCGGGGAGGGAACGGTCAGTATGACAAGGGGATTGAAAATCCTTGCCATATTCACCACTTCCTACTCATCTTTGTTCTCCCCCTCCTGCCCTTCTCCTTCCAGCCCCGCTCAGCCCGCCCTAGCCCAATCCATCCCAGCTCCTTTCCCTGTCGTCCATCCATCCCCCCCCTGTGTCCTCCTCCCTCCTCGCCTCCTCCCTGCTCTCGCCCTCTTCCCCTAGCGTCGTGCCCTCCTGCCCCCCCCCCCCCACGTCCTCCATCCCCTACTCGTTCTCTTCTCTTCTCTCACTGGGGTGTCGCCTCCACTCTCGTTGGGTAATGGTTCTCACGGACGTGGGTTGCAGCTCATTTTTCAAGGGCTGCGCTCCGCGAGACCAGGCGTGCCAGACAGGGCGCCACCTGTTCGAAAAGAGACGGCCTATACACATGTGTATGTATACGCACAGTTGTATATCTTATGTTTCTTCTTCTGATTCGTACTCTAGTTGATTCGTTTGTTGAACACTATTACTTCTAAAGAATTATTATTGTTGGACCCCCTGGTGCACGCCCCCCGCCCAAAACCTAGGCCGCAGCTACATTTTCATCATTTTTCTGCGAAAGCTTCAGAAAAGTGGATTACCCCCGGATCCGGTTTTTTGTTGACGCTCGTTTTCCCTTGCAAAAAACAATAGAAAATGAAAATTCTTGTTCTTAGTTGATCAAATTTCAAGAATCCCTTGCAAAAAATAAGGTAAAGTGGACATTCGCGCTCGCAAGACGAAATCCTTCCAAAACCTTAGGTTTCGTAACGATTTTAACATAAAAACATCAAAAACCCAATGGTTTTTTAAGAAAAAATTGTCAAAATGTCCTTCCGCGCGCTCTTGCGGATTCATAGGAAACACACCACTTTTTAAACATTTCTGTCAAAAGGGTCTTTGCGTGCTACTTCTTCAGGTGCTTTGAACTTCTCCAACAACGGTTGCGCGCCTGCGAGGGCCACCATCCCTTGCAAAAAATGAGACGAAGTGCACATGCGCGCGGCCGCCGCGCGCGCATGTCGAAATCCTGCCAAACACAATGGGTTTTCAATAATTTCAAGATGCGATGTTCAGAAAACATATGAAAACGCACTACTTTCTCATCCGAAAAATCTCGAAATCCATTCGCGGTCTCTTGATGAATCTTTAAAACCCAAGATGGCCCCAACAGGCGCGCAAGATGGCCCCCTTTGCGTCCAGAGCCGCGCCGTCTGCGTTCTTCCTTTCTCGCTTCTCTCCTTTCCTCCTTCCCTGCTCCTCCTCCCCCTCTTCCGTATTGCCGATGGCCATCTCCCTTTCTCCCTCGCATGTCTGCTTGTACATACGTATAATTTCAGAACTTACCGTGCATGCGATCGTTTACAACATGGTGGACCGTGCGTATGTCACGAACCTTGTATACATGTGTTTCTCTCCCTCCGTCTGGCTGTGCACGCGCGCGTTGGGCACTGAGAGTTAGGATCATAGCGCCATGAGTCTATGAGCAATGCATGCGTCATCCTTGGGACTGTATAACATCAGTGTAACACATGTACTTCTGTAATCGCATCCCCACGAATTTGCCCCAAAAATGTGACCAACTATCTTGGCACTGCGTACCATCTCACGTGTACCGTGTACCACATCATATGTAACAGATGTGATCAACCTCTGTGGGTGTGTACCCCACGCCAGTGTAGTAGCCAGGGTCGTCCGCACGCCACGAAGTGAAGTGTCCCAACGTCATAGGGCGGGAAGCTGGGTGTGGGTGGTCTCGAAGAGTCGTTTGGATATTTGGTAGAGCTTGAACGGCCCCCCCACGAAGTGGGGGTATTGGCTGGTGTCGCAAGAAAACCCTGGCACTGGGGAGAACACTGAGCGTTCGGGTAAAATGATTGTTGTTGTTGTTGTTGTTGTTGTTGTTGTTGTTGTTGTTGTTGTTGTTGTTGTTGTTGTTGTTGTTGTTGAATGTTAATTTCTAAACAATTACTGTTGTTGGACCCCTTAAAGGCGCCCTGGCGCTCTCGCCGAGGCGCTGGCTACATTTTCATTGAACATGGGGCTCACACTCGAGCGGTTTGGGGGACCGCCAAAACCAGCCCCCCCCAATAACAACAACGCTCCCGCTCGAGACTTCCTCCCTTTTTGCTCAGGGCTGGTGTTCTTGCTCGCCGCCGAAAGCCGCCGTCCTAACAAAACCAGCGTTCCCGCTCGAGACTTCCTCCCGTCTTACCTTGTATTGGCGCGCTAGTCTTTCTCTCATCGGCGCCGACCCCAGCAAAAACAACGCTCCCGCTCGAGGCTTCCTCTCTTTTTTACTCAAGGCGGTGCTCCTCCTCGCCGCCGAAAACCGCCGCCCCAACAAACCAGCGCTCCCGCCCGAGACTTCCTTGAGTTTTACGCTGGACTGGCGCCCTACTCTCTTTTGAATTGGCGCCGCTCCCAGCAAGAACAACGCTCCCGCTCGAGATTTTTTTCCTGAAGACGGTGCTGTTCCTCGCCGCCGACAGCCCCCGTCCCGACAAAACCACGGCTCCCGCTCGATGCTTCCTCCCTTCTTACTCAAGGCGGTGTTCCTCCTCGCCGCCGAAAACCGCCGCCCCGACACGTCCAGCGCTCCCGCCCGAGACTTCCTTCAGTTTTACGCTGAACTGGCGCCCTACTCTCTTTTGAATTGGCGCCGCTCCCAGCAAGAATAACGTTCCCGCTCGAGATTTCCTTTTGGTCTCTTCGGGACGGGGCTGTTCCTCGCCGACGACAGCCCCCGTCCCGACAAAACCCCCGCTCCCGCTCGATGCTTCCTCCTTTCCCGCCGAAGGCCGCCGTCCCAACAAGATCAGCGTTCCCGCTCGAGACTCGTTCTGTTTTACGCTGGACTGACGCCCTACTCTCTTCAGCATTGGCGCCGCTCCCAGCAACAACAGCAAAACTGCTGGAGACTTCCTCCCTTTCTATTCAGGGCCAGGTCCTTGCCTCACCGCCGACAGCCCCCATTCCCACCAAGGCAATCCTGTCGTTCGATATTTCCTTGTGCTTTACCCTTCGATGGGGTTCCACTGGCGGTCTCGCATCGGCGCAGCAAGGCGCGGGCATGTGTTTTCGAGGCGGGATATGTTGAACTTCCTCGGAGGAGGTGTTTGCAAGACCTCATTGGGCGAGAGATCTGGGAATGGGAATATCGGACCCCGCTATAGAACAATAGTCCCCCATGATGTGGATGATTATCATAAGGGTCGCATGTTTCGTATGGAAACATCGCGCATGAGGGTGACATTCTGGTGTCGTTGTTGTTGTTTGTTTGTTTGTTTGTTTGTTTGTTTGTTTGTTTGTTTGTTCGTTGTTGTTGTTGTTGTTGTTGTTGATGTTGTTGTCTTTCACTTATGGAAAATAATTCTTAATCCGCCCTCACCGGTGCATCTTGGTTTTCTCAGTCAAAGTGTGTCCCTCGACGTTCGCACTTTAATTTTTGTCAGGGAACATTTTCGTCCTCAAACTGTGCCCCTGGCTCCCCAGATTGCAACAACAACGGCTCCCGCTTGAGACTTCCTCCAAATTTACTCAGGACCGCTGCTCCCGCCTGAGACTTCCTCACAATTTACTCAGGATCGGTGCTCCCGCTTGTGATTTCGTCGCAATTTAGTAAGGACCCCCGCTCCCATTTGAGACCTCCTATAACAATTTACTCAGGAACGGCGCTCCCGCTTGAGACTTCCTCGCGTTTGAATGAAGCCTTCTGCGCGATTTCATCAAAACCCCCGCTCCCGCCAGAGAACCCTTCACATTTTATGCAGGAATTGCGTTCTCGCTTGTGACCTCATGCAATTTATGCAGAAATCGCGTCTTCGACGGGTCACGAAGGCGGCGAGGCTCAACAAGGGTGCTGGCTCCATCCAGCACTCGCGCGACCGCGTGGCCAAGTTCCAGGAGTCCTTCGACGTGCTCAAGGAGAGCCTGCATGTGCTGGTGGGCTACGCCTTCTCCGAGGACGGAGAGCTGGCCCTGCGGCGCGCCACCGAGGGCATGGGCGCGGACGTTGGCCCGTCCAGCACGGGCGCGCCGCCGGCTACGGAGGCGGTCGCAGCGGAGGTTGGGCGCCCGATGGCGGTGGCGGAGGTGCCGGGGCCGCCCCGCGTGCCTCCGCCGCCTGCCGAGGGCGACGACGTCGACTGGGATATGACGGCGGCGCCGCGCCCCTGGGCCCCGACGGACCGCGGTCCCGCGTCGGAGGGGCCCAACGTCCGGGGCGCGAAGTTGGTGGAGGACGTCGCCGACGTCCAATCCATCAGAAGATGGGCTACTCCAGGAAGACGCTCAAGAAGATGGCGAGGTGCTGCGGCGTCGTGCGGTACGAGACCCTGCGGACGTGCATGAAGGGCGCCCTCGGAGCTATCCTCGAGAAAGAGTGACATGATCGGCGCGTTGAGCTGCTCGGATGGCGTGGAGACCTGGTTCAACAAAAACTGGATGCTGCTGCATCAGAGTGCCGTGCGGTAAGGACTTCAATCGACGCGGGGGAAGCTGCGCGCGCGCCCGAAGAGGGCAATGAGGGCGTGCTGGAGGCGCATGACAGGGTGACTGCGCACTTGCGCAACCAGCGGCGACGCCGCCGTGCAGGGCGCATATCGCAAGGTGGGCGACTGCTCCGACTAGTTCTTCTCGGACTCCCAGTTCTCGATG